AAAAAAAAAAAAAAATATCCAAAGCCACATGCTCAAATATTAGTGTATCTTTTCTATAATGCCAGGTATTCAAGTGTATCAATATTTAAACAAAAATTATTCTGACCTCGAAATTACTGTTAGAACTAGTGCATCATGCCGTATTAAGCAATCACAAGTCAGTAAGTAGTTCAAATACATGATATGAAATGAATTGAGCTCTTTTTCTATAATGCCAGGTATTCAAGTGTATCAATATTTTAAACAAACATTAGTCTGACCTCGAAATTACTGTTAGAACTAGTGCATCATGCCGTATTAAGCAATAACAAGTCAGTAAGTAATTCAAATACATGATATGAAATGAATTGAGCAGTGGTTTTAACCACTTACAAAATCATAATTTATGATTTGTTCTACTAAACATATGGATGAAAGACATATTCAAGGGCATTGGATACAAAGCGATTGCACTCTGTATTCACAATAACTTCATTTGTCAGATGAGAATTAAGTTTAATGTATTGTCGCCGTAGGTTGGAACAAAGGGAGATTTTATTATCACCACAAGTACAGCAAGACATGACCAGATCGTTGAATATAGATGAACACCACGGTTGTAACAACCGTCGGAATTTTGATTACAAGTTTACAACTTAAGATATAGATATATATATATATATATATATTATATATATCCGTGTGTGTGTTCCCTCCAACATAGGCACTACTAATACTAATACAACTTATCTCTTCCATTACACTGAAACATGCTCTGATTTTATCTATTATGCTCCAGTCTTAACTGTGATCGAAACATGCAACAAGAACAGTAGAAGTAGAATGGGAATCAACCTGAAGAAATCTCTCAAGTCAAGAATTGAAATTCTAATCATGCATGAACTTTTTGTGTGTAGGTGTGCAAGACATCAGGAAAATCATGATGCATTCACCAGTCAATAAGAGGAATTATACGCGATTAGCCAACGATCAGCATGATAAAGTCAGAGAGAGGGCAGTAGGTCTTACAGCAAACCAACTGCAGTAGCTCATAAGTTCATCCGTGTCAACAAACTTCGATCTGAATGCATTACCTTCCAAGGACAATGGGACATATTTTAACTCTACCGGGAGAAGAAAAGCAGTCTTTTCAGCAACCTACAGGATAAGATGATTGTCAGCTTGTCAACACATTTATAAAAGGCTGAACATTTAGAGCTTGTTTGTTTACAAATATACCAAAAAAATTCAATCATAACTTAAAATCTAACTCAAGTTTAACTCAACTCCACTATCTTCAATATTATCAATATAAATAATATCAATCAATCATCCTTACACATCACATCAACTTCAATTCATTATTCATCCACTCACATAAGTTTAACTTACTATCACTTCCAATCATCTATTTCGTACTTTTACATCAAATCAATTTTAATATTATATTTTAATATTATTTTAATACAAACTTTAAATCCCACTAACAACTAACCATACATTTTTTTTTTCAAAATCAACTCTGGTTAAAAAAAAATAATCAATCAAATACCGATATATTTGTAAACAGGCAAGCCCTTAGTGACACCAACCACTGAATGTGTAACTATTAAAATATATCTATTCTTCTTCAAAAGAGAAAGATGTTTTCTGAGAGACTTTTAGTAAATTTGCATAAAACACCAAGTAGCATACAATATCAATATACAATCGATCACAATTAAAAATAAATTATTTATAATACTTTGGTAAAAAAAGAGGATCAGATGAAGCCATCTACAGAAGAGTGAATCTAGAAGGGGATTTATTTTCAAGCGCTGTTGGCCATTCTTTATGTTGAAGAGAAAAGTAATCGTGAGTCGTGACACAGAAAACTGGCTCACATAATCAACTTCTATGTAGGTGTGAATCAAAAGTGGATCATATGGAAGCTGCCTGTGCAGAGTGACAACATCTAAGATTAATGTTCGCCAACAGGCTCCTACTTGCTCCTTCCATAAGATTCTGATTTTTCTGGTTATAAACAAGATCCAAAACCAAATGAAAATAACAATAACAAAAAAGAACTGCCATTGAGAGTTAGCAAGTTACAACAAAATCCCTGAAGTTCGTGATATAGAAGTACACCCTGGCATTATTGTTTGCGTATATACTGTAAAAGATTTAGGAAATGGATTTAGGAAATGGAAAATGTAGCAAACACTTCATGTTATAAGAAAAGCGCAAAAGCAATAAAACAAGGATCACTGTGAAAAAATAACAGGAAAAAAACTTATGAAACTGTTGTCACTAGACTTTATCTATCTAACATCACCAAGAAAGCAAGAACAAAATTCAGTTTTGTCATCACAGTTATGCTATTTAGAAATTTATTTCTAGATAGTGTTGGTGTACTCATTGAATCCCAGGTCACTAAATTTTTCAAGAGTCGCAACGCTTGAGCACGTACAAGAAATGCTGAGCTAGTCAACAGAAACAAGCAAGTGTAAACAAAACCCAACAGATAATGGATCAACTCAAAATATCAGGGTTCATAAGAGGCAGGTGTAAGCAAGAAAAGACCAAGAAAGCACCATATGGTAGAGAAAATGTAAGAAGAAGCCCCTTTTTCTTCTCTGGAAAGTTCCAAATCCACGGGACTTGTTTTAAAATGTTAACTTTATAAAATAACAAGTAAAATCATTGTGAAAAAACTATAAGTAAAAATGAGTTTATCCAATTCAAGTAAAATTTGAAAAACAAATAAGGAGAGAAATTGACAAAACTAATTTTATTAACCTTTTGCCAATCAACAAAGTCAACGAGATCCTCATCCATCGTTTCTTTTGCAGCAATACGTAATATTCTCTCCCTTTCTGCTTGAATTGGTTGTTGGAGACAAAATATTCTATCCATTCTGCCAGGACGCTGTAAAGCCTCATCAATTTGGTTAAGATGTTGAGTGGTAGCCATCAAAACCACACCATCTTGTTTCTCAAACCTACAAATAGAGCAAATTCAATACAGAACAAAAGTATTAATATGCAGCAAAAACGTCTAATTTAGTAAATAATTAATATGCAGGAAAAAATTTCTAATTTAGTGAATTTAATATGCAGCAAAAACATTCTTATTGCAACTCTTCTCTATACAACAACAACAACAACAAAGCATTTTAGTCCCAAACAAGTTGGGGTAGGCTAGAAATGAAACCTAAAAGAAGCAGTGGTAAGAGAAACACAAAAAGGGCTCAAAACAAAACAAAACAAAACAAAACAAAACAAAAGAGATTGGAGCAAAAGAGAAAGGAGCAAAAGAGAAAGGAGCAAAAGTCACGGTTCCGGCTCGTTGACCGCTAGCCTCCAAGCGCTCCTATCCACCGCTAAATCCTCGTAGATATTCCAATTTTTAAAGTCTCTCTGAACTGACTCTTCCCAAGTGAGTTTAGGCCGACCTCTACCTCTCTTAACATCATCGACCCGCTGTAGAACTCCCCTACGCACCGGTGTATCAGGAGGCTTCTGTTGGACATGTCCGAACCACCTCAGCCTGTGTTTAACTAATTTCTCCTCAATTGGAGTCACCCCGACCCTATCTCGAATATCCTCATTTCGGATTCTATCCTTTCTTGTGTGCCCGAAAAACCAACGCAGCATACGCATCTCTGCTACACTTAGTTGTTGGACATGTTGCCTTTTTGTAGGCCAACATTCAGCACCGTATAGCATCGCCGGGCGAATCGTCGTACTATAGAACTTACCTTTTAGCCTTTGTGGCACCCTCTTATCACAGAGAAAGCCCGAAGTTTGACGCCATTTTAACCAACCGGCGAAGCTTGACGCCATTTCAAACAACCGGCTGCAATTCTATGTCTAACATCTACATCAATGCCGCCATCATTTTGTAGCATCGATCCTAAATACCGGAAAGTTTCCTTCTCGAAAGCGCACGTCATGTACTCGGTCTTCCACAGCTTTAACTTCCTATTTACCCCTGCCCTACTCTCGTCAACTAGCACCACAGCAAAGAGCATACACCAAGGGATATCACCTTGTATGTCCCTTGTGGTCTCATCCATCACCAAGGCAAACAAATAACGGCTCAATGTTGACCCCTGGTGTAGTCCTATTTTAATTGGGAAGTTGCTGGTATCGCCCCCACATGTTCGGACACATGTCATCGCATCCTTGTACATATCCTTGATGAGAGTAATGTACTTAGATGGGAATTTGTGCCTTTCTAAGGTCCACCACATGACATTCCTCGGTACTTTGTCATAAGCCTTCTCAAGGTAGATAAAAACCATGTGCAAGTCCTTCTTTTGGTCCCTATATTTCTGTCGAATTAGGAAAATCGCCTCCATGGTCGACCTTCCAGCTATGTTACCCGGACTCTTCTATTTAGGAAGAATACCCGTGTCATGTTGTGTCGACACTGTGTGGGTATGCGTGCCGGGTGTGGCATTTTAGCCTAAAATGTTCAAGATTCTAAACTATTGACGAGTCGGACGCTCATATCTCCACACCCGATACGGACCCATATCCTAGTCCAGGTAGCGTAGCCTTCCAAGCATAAACCCAAATTTGTTTTTGGTCACACTCGTCAGTCGTTGTAGGCGATGCTCGATAACCCTCTCCCAGAGCTTCATCGTATGGCTCATCAACTTAATCACACGATTGTTACCACAGCTTTGAACATCACCCTTGTTCTTGAAGATCGGTACTAAAGTACTTCTCCATTCATCAGGCATCTTGTTTGACCGGAAAATGAGGTTAAAAAGTTTAGTTAGCCATACTAACGCTCTGGCGCTCAAGCATTTCCACACCTCAATGGGGATACCATCAGGGCCCATTGTTTTACCTCCCTTCATCCTCTTCATGACCTCTCCGATCTCTGCCTCCCGAATTCTCCTCACCAAGCGTCTATTGGTATCCTCAAATGAGTCATTCAACTCCAGGGTAGGACCCTCACTCTCCCCACTAAACAATTTGTCGAAGTATTCTCGCAATCTGTCCTTGATCTCCCCATCCTTCACCAGCGGCCGATCCAGCCCATCCTTGATGCATTTGATTTGGTTGATGTCCCTTGTCTTCCTCTCTTGAATCCTAGCTATCCTATAAATGTCTTTCCCCCCTCCTTCGTGCCTAGGCGCTGATAAAGGTCATCATACCTTCGCTACACTCACGGCACGCTTTGCAGCCCTCCTCGCTATTTTATAGCTCTCAATGTTGGTTGCACTCTTGTCAAGGTGAAGACTTGAAACACTCTTTCTTCTCCTGAATATCCCTTTGCACCTCGTCATTCCACCACCAAGTGTCTTTCGCATCCTACTTGCCTCCCCTACTCACACCAAGTACTTCTGCAGCCACCTTTCGTACACATGTTGCCATATTTAGCCACATGTCATCTGCATCTTCTCCTTCTTCCCAAGGCCTCTCGCCTAGCATCATATCCCTAAACGTCTGCACCGCTTCCCCTTTAAGCATCCACCACTCTGTTCTCACGGTCTTGACACGTTTGTCCCGGTGGACACGTATTCGAAATCAAAAGTCCGCCACCACCAACTTATGTTGGGGGACAACACAATCCCATGTATCACCTTGCAATCTAAGCAAGCGTGTCTATCCTCCCTCCTTGCAAGGATAAAGTCGATCTGACTTGACTGTCGTCCACTATGGAAGGTCACTAGGTGAGATTCTCTCTTCCTAAAGAGGGTGTTCGCTATCAACAAGTCGTAGGTCATCGCAAAGTCCAACACACCCTCCCCCTCTTCGTTTCTTCTACCATACCCAAACCCTCCGTGCACTCTCTCGAAACCTACATTAGTCACGCCCACATGGTTGTTTAGATCTCCTCCTACGAAGAGCTTCTCGCTGGCAGACACCGTACTGACCAAGGTGTCCAGATCCTCCCTGAATTACCTCTTGCGCTCTCACTAAGACCTACCTGAGGGGCGGGCATAGGCACTGATCACATTCATGGTCACATCCCCAACTACCAATCGGACTAGGATAATCCGGTCGCCTTGCCTCCTAACATCTACAACTCCATCCTTAAGGCTCCTATCGATCAGGATGCCTACACCACTTCTACTCGATGAAGCCCCAGTGAACCAAAGCTTGAAGTCAGTATCCTCCGCCTCTTTAGTCTTCTGCCCCTTCCATTTAGTCTCCTGGACAAACGCATAGGATATTTACACGCCTCCTAGTAGCTGCATCGACTAGCTCAAGTAGCTTACCCGTTAGGGAGCCTACGTTCCAACTACCTATCCGGACCCTAGTTGGTTCGACTAGCTTCCTTACCCTTCGCACCCGTTGAGAGTGATGCGAAGACCCTTGCTCATTTTTCACTACACCCGGGCGCCCGTCGAGAGTGAAACCCTTCTCTATAAAAAGAATAATTATGCACTTAGTAACAATCAACTTTAGCTTTGATCAATTAAATCAAAATGCAACTAATAACAGCTTACAAGCTCTAAAACATATCTAATTAGGTATAAAAGCATATAGAATCTTAAAAGTAAGCTCGCTTAATTCCCTCAAAGAAAACAATGCAGTAATTGTGAATAAAACATTAGATTTGACTGAAGGTTTGAGATTCTCAAATAATTCATAAAATATCTAATAGAAAGGAGAGGAATACCCATCAAGTTCCACGAGAAGTTGATTGATGAAAGACTCGTGATCCTGCTTTTTAGTGTGAATGAACTTTCCGCGGACACCAGCAAATTGGTCAAAGTCTTCCACAAATATAATAACAGGAGCCTATATTTGATGATCATGCATTAGCATATTACTCTTAAAAAGTATGCTCAAGGAAAGTACGAGAACTGGCTTCAATATATTCTGGTAAAAGGGAATAAACAATAAAGGAGGTTTTGACAGGAAAAAAAAATAAGAACATCCACTTAACAGGCTTTTCTTAATTAAATAAACAATAAAATTAAAGTTTTCTCTAGGAGGAGAGTCCATCCATTTTTTCTCCCACTCTGAGTGAAGGCATCATTCCCTTGCCCAAGCACCTTCCTTATTTCAGAATGAATTGAATGATGCTTATATGTCACATATTGATTAGCTATTTTTAGTATGTATCACTGATAGAAGCACCCTGAAATATCCACTATGAACAGAATTCGACACTTGTATTAAGACCAAGTAAATTTTCTATGTTTTTCATAGTGTGTTTCAAAACCTTGCCAAGACGAATATGGATTCATAATTGTATCACTTAAACTTGAATTGAAATCATAGTTATAAAATCAACTGAATTTCAACTTATAAATTCGTGCCCATGGTTAATCGGGAAGTTAGTTTTTGACAAGATTTTACATGTATTCGCACTTGCCAATTGCAATCGGAATAGGTTTACTCTTGTTTCATGTATAAACTCAATAGTAGAAACAAGTCATCGAGGACACAAACAAATGAAGTTCACAATAATGTGAGCGACATTATAAAAAATTAGTGCCAATCACAAGAACAAGGTTAAAATTGCCAACTTTCGTAATAGAAATTTCATAGATTTTACTCATCATAGAAGAAACCAAGTTTCATCCCCTAATCACATTATTTTGCTACGAAACAAATTCTTGATAAGTATTAATGAACCTCCAGTGGCTCAAAAGAGTTTAAGTTTATCCATAATACATTTACGTAGGGTTAAAATAAAAGAAATGGGTTAGAAAGCCACCAGATCTCGTGCTATTTGGAACAGTTCTCTGACGTTTGATGCACTTTGGCCCGCCATACGATCAGTTTCCAGCTGCTTTGCTTTTATTTGAACTAACGGAACCTTAGCTTCTGCTGCTATAGCCATTGCCAAGGATTTTTTACCTGTTCCATCCTCGCCAACAATAAGAACACCCTGGGATGCAACGAGTATAAAATTCAGGCGCAACATAAACTTATGCAAATCTATATAGCCTCACAATGTTAAGCGCATTATGTTAAGAGAATCAAAATCATAAAGATGGCACCTCGGTATGGGTTTATTGGAATATCAATTGTGAGTTGTTCTACATTTTGAATAAATAGGGAAAATCAGTCTAGTCTATAAGCCTAGTGGGCTACACCTCCCATCACTAATTAGTTTAGGATGCAACCTCACTAATGTGGCAACTAGGGCGCCCTCTTAAGGTGCGTTTCACTCTTAGTGTATATATGTAGCAGTATGTATATGTCATATGTCACAGTATGTATATATTGTGTATATATGTCATAGTATGTGTATATATATATCACATATACATCATAGTTTTTATATCATAGCCACAGTATGTTTCGTGTCTCGATTCATGTTGAGATATGAGTGCAATGTTAATGATATATGTCATTAAATGGTTAATTGCTTAGTTTATTCTCCTATTAATGCTCACCCCATTATCAGGTCAGGTTGACGAGTTGGCGTGGCGCAGCAGAAGCGTGGTGGCCATTTTCGAAATTAATGGGTGTTTCAAAAATTCATGGGTAATTGTTGATGACTTGAAAATTTAGAGTTTATTTTACATTGTTACCTCGCATTCTTTTAACTTTGGGAATTGAGTTGGATTATTTATCTCTCGACCTTGGTTATGTTGTGGATTCTTGAGTAACGTTTGAATTTTGAAAATATGGTGAGGTTATCAAGATCAAGTTCTCAAATTATTATGTGTTATGTTTCAAGTTCAAAGTCAAGTAGTTGAACTTTATGTAGTTGAGTTTTATTGAAATGTGAAAAACCTTAGATTTAGAAATAAAATTTGAGGACGCTACAATTATAATTGATGGGTTAATGTGTAGGGTTTGACCAAGAACCCAATACACATTGACGAAGAACCCAATACACAAATCCTATCAGGAGACCTAACTCTATACCTCCTTAAGATGCCTACTATAACTTATAAATACACCATGCAGACTCCTTTTGCCTTGCGTCTTGAGAAACACACGCCATCTTGAAAGCAATAAGCGACGAAGGAGTTAGATCGTCGCCCACACTAATTCCAAGCGGTGAAGGAATACAACAGAAGATCTCGAGGTTGTCGACGGTGCTACCGGCCCGTTGACCGTGTATCTTCTTAGAGTTTGCTTGAATTAAATGGTACGAGTTAGATAAATTCTAGATTTCGTTGTGCATAGGATTTAAGTTCCACACGAATAAATTCATAGTTTGCCAACTATTATAATGGACGCAACATGGACCTAGGTAGAACTCAATCCCAAAAGCTAACTCAATGGAAGGTGTTCAACCCAAACTTATACACAATAACAACTTAATAGCGAATCGATGAGGGACAAACACAAACTTTTAATAGGTATCTTTAGCAAAAAAAGCTTGATTGTGGATAAAATCTAAAAGATTATATGATTGCCTATTAAAGAAGGCAATTGGTTGGTAGAAAACAAAGATAATGGTAATTTGGTTTGTTTAACAGCTAAATAGCAAGGGAGAGAATATAGATGGAGAATGGAGTCTGCAATAATAGAAATGGGCTTTTGTATTTAGTAAGTGCGAGGTATACATATATTAAGTATGTCCGTGTCGCGTTATTTGTTGAATAACGAGAACACAATGGCAAAAGATGGTTATGAAGAGTGCATCAGTAAATAGTCAGTAAATGGTCAGGAGGAATACAACATTACCAAGTGTTATCATTTTCTCAAGTCAAAAAAAGAGTATCTTGGACTCAATCTGAGAAGGCCCCAGATTTTTTTTTTTTTTTTTAATTGTATATGTGACCTAGTATTTCTACAACTCCATGAGCATTCGAGATTCACAATTGTGTGGGTAACTTTGGCATTGTTTAAGACAAATAGAACCAAACATAAATGGATAAAATTATTATAACTAATTGCGAGGGCCATAAACATAGATAAACAATAAATTAAAACTATAAGGGTTATGCAAAATTATTTTGTTTATAAACATAAATAAAACATACCAAATTGTATTGTATCTTCCACTACCAGAAGAGTAGATGCCACATTTTGATCGTATTCAATAAAATGACATACCCGTGGTGCACGAGCTCCCATATCTTGAAATGCATGGGGATTTTGTAGAAATGCCACAACTTCATTTATTTCTTCTCTCATAGGTTCAATATTTGTAAAATCTTTCAACCGTATGGGAGGATCTTTTATCCTCTGAGTTCAGAAATACGGGAAACAGTTTATTAGTAGTTTCAACAAAACAAAGAGATGGAAGTAGTAAACAGAGAGTACCTTCATACGATCAAAAGCGGTGCTTATAGGATCAACGCCACCTTTTAGTTTCTTTCTTTTAGCCATTTTCTTCATTCTACGGTAAAATTTCTGCAAAACAGCATAGAGGGTTATCAACGCATAATCAGTTGTGCCAGTAATTTTATTTTAAAATATATAAGAAAACTTTTCCAGTAGACAACTCACCTAAGAAAAAATAAATAAAAGGACCGTGTCAGCACCAGATTAAACTCTAGTAAAAAACAAAGAAAAAACACATTCAAAGGAATCTAGGAGGAAAAAATCTCTAAACAACCACACGTGTGTTGTGCATTGTGAGACTTTAACAATGAAGTAAGTTTACATTTTGCAACGTATCAAATATTCTGAAGGATAACATCAGTAAACGAATTCAGGTGCATTCAATTACCTCACAAGCTACAGAGAGTTGCTTGTTTTAACTCTTAACTAGCAACTAAGGGAGAAGAATCTAAATGCACATGAAAACACAGATTGAAGAGCTTCATCAGTAGCATATATAGGAAGAAGATAATATTACCACTCTCCACAGCATTCTTAAGATGGAATCTCTTCTTGAATTCCCAGAACCAAGAGCACCAAGAACTCTTGGAACTTTTCTCCTCATAAACCGGAAAACATGATACATCACATACCCATAGATGGCAGTTTTGACCAGAAACCATAAATGCCACAAAAACACATCTTTTTTCCTTGATGTAAAGCTTGTTTCAGCCTCATATTGCCAATTCAAGTACCATGATGGGCCAATAGATACATGGGAATATTCTGGCCAAGCCATTCCCAAGCGCATCCTCACCTGCCAGAACAGAGAAAGATAAAATACAAGAGAACAAAAGGCAGACCAAAAGGCTTGTATGTGTCTTTTAGCTAAGAAATCGAATCACTCTATCGAGCAATTCAACCAGTTACCTCATAAGTAACAAACTCCACAAGAGGGAAAACAATCATCACCATTATATCCTCATTAATATTTCTAAATTCTTCAAATGCCCATTTTCTTGGGTTTAACACTATAGGGCTGTTCCACAACAAAGTAAAGCACTGACGACAAAATTCCAATGAAAGGATAAACTGCTGCCTGAAGTCCAATTCGGAGAAGGGAATCCACATAAGCTGAACTGCGGTGGGAATGTTAGCCCCAAGCATTCTCATATACAATGCATCAAAACCACCAAAATCTTCAAACAGCATTTCAAATTCCTGGAACAAGATGCACAACACGGTATGACTCAGGGCAAAAAAAGAGGAATAAATAGTGAGAAACTAAAGGAGAAAAAATCAACTTTCAGAGATGGAAAACACCATAAAGGATCTTACACAAATATCAACATAATATTCGTTGTCATCCCCCTTAAGCATAACATACATGGCAGCCCAATCATGCCTTATTCGAGCACCTTCCACGAGTTTCCTGGAGATAGCATAAGGAACAGCTATTGGGTCCAACTCCCACCTATTCCTTTGTTCATTATACCAAGTCCTGGCTGTCACTCTATCCCGATCCCGCAGAATGCGTTCCTACAATTAACATTGCTTTTCAAGTCAGATAACAAGGAATAAAGACAATACACAAATACCATATGATCATTCATCAGATGAAAAGAAGAATTAAATTTGAACAGAATAATAAATCAGTTATGATTGGAATGGAACTACACAGAAAAATAAACCTTATGTGCAATAGTTTATTAAAATTGCTTCGACGCATTGTTTGCTCGCTTTACTACTCTCCATAACCGTCCCAGATGCCTCCAGAGAGAAAAGAATCAACTCAGCAATCATTATTATACAATCACACATTCGACTGCATAGGCACATTATGCCACATCCCAGTCACCAATCAACCCAAACATGTTTTCTTACTATTTCTAAATTAAATCAACTTCTATCATCATATTTTTCATTTATATCCAATCAATCATCACTCTTCTTTCAAAATCTCTTTTGAAAATATTATTATAAACATGAAAATATATTCAATCACTCCCTTAGGCTCCCTCATTCTTTCAAATAATGACATGGCAGAGAGATTCTCTTCATACCATAATGACAAACCAGTATCTCACAACAGTGAGTTAACTAACTCACCATACACAAGAATTGTGGTACACGCACAAAGGGTGATTTAGTTAACTCAACAGCACAAATATGAAGAGGTCTAAAATACTAAAAAAAAAAAAAGAAGGAAATAAGCCTCTGCCCTAATCATGATGTTTCAGAGATTTTAGCTGTTTATAGTACATCAAGAAGTAATGAGCTACTTCCAGACAAAGTCAGACAGGTTAATCTGCAAAATTGTCACAGGAGTCTGCATTTTTTCTATAGCATTATACACTGAAAAACCACAATAATGATTACGCTACACAAAAGCAAGCAAATAATTGCTCAATGAATTTTTTTAATATCCGTATATAAAAAGGTTTAACATTGAAAAACATTCCAGATGTCCATTTGCACATGACATGAAACCCAAAACCATGGCAAAAAGGAACAGGGAAAGAACAAATCCTCAAAGATATGAAACAAGTGTCTCAAGACACGGTAAAAGTAAGATAACATTAAATTAGTACCATAATAGTTCTGGCAAGAATTACCTGTCTGTCAGCGATGTACTTTTTACCTAGTTCAGAATCTCCCAAGAGACTCTGTTTAAGGTCCATCTTAACATCTTCTCGCCATTTTTTCCAACCGTGAAGTAAGTGGAGGCTCACAGCTCTTGGAACTGCTACCTCTTTCTTTCCAAACATCCACTTAAGCTCAATATCTGGATAGCCCTTGACAACCTCATCAGGAGGCATCACTGCAATATATCTTCTTTCCTCACCATGCTTCCTCATAGTCTTCCTGATTTGATCCTCCAGCTTCTTTTGCATCTTCCTTGAATTCCTAAGTTCTTGCTCTATATGAAAAGCATTAGCAGTTGTATCTTGACCCGTGAGAGATTCTGCACCTTGACTAGCCAGAACATTTGGTAAAATTATTTGCTCCTGAAGAAGCCTATGTGCATTTTGCAGTTCTTTCCAAAGCTCCTCCTTAGAAAGCTTCGTATCAGGCTCACCTGAGGTACTGCAAGCCATATGACCAAAAGGCAGAATAAGCAGTGAAACTATGAAAGTTAAATAATATCCTAGCAATAAATAAACTACAACTTCATGCAATTGATTGTCAGACTCGGAACATCCATAGGCTACTCCTC